TTGGGAATGGAAAAATTCTGTTTTGGGAAATGATGCACAGATCCCTGGGAACAGAGTCAACTGATGAGAAAACAGTGTGTGAACTGGACAGGGAGCGCCGCGCCACTCGTAGAAGACGTTACGAGGGAAATAGGGCATGTGAAAGGCAAGTAGATGGCACAGGGAAATATTATTTTTATCATTATTATACAACGTACGGATAAACAGCTTTATCATTACTCAGGCTGCATGTTTAAAGAGGGCAGAAATATTTATTAATGGGTTATGATAGTCACACACAATAGATCTGAATGCTAGTGATTATTAAATCAGATTGTATGGGAAAGCAAAGTCCAACTCTGAGAAAAAATCTAATTGTCCCCCATCCGCAGGGCCGGTGCTAGACTATTCTGCACCTTAGGCAAGACAAGCTACTTGCAACCCCCCTCCACCCCTCCCCCCACCAAAAAAAATTTAATTTAGAGACAGTAGAAAATATTAAATCAATGAAACTGCTAAATGTCTTTTAATTTGCAAAAAATAAGTGCCATAAGATGTCACCAGCACCAATATTAAAGACAAAATCAGTGTCACGGACGGACTGTATCTGTGGCTGGCAGTGGCAGGGTGACAGTTGCATTGGCAGGGGATGATGGATCCACACTGATAGATCCCAGGCTGGAATTCCCCAGGCAATGGGGGGAGATCACGCTGTGACAGCAGGCAGCTGAACTGAGCGATCCCACACAGTGACGGATCCGAAACGACACACCATCACCAACACAGACATAGATCAGCAGGCCCAGCAGGCACTAGAAGAGCAGGCTGTGGGATCATGATGATGTCATCATTCACTGACACATTGCACATGTGATGAATGTCCAGACGACTAGGTCACATTCAAACAGACACGAAACATCAGAGTCAGACATTACCTGTGTATTCGACGCCTCTGCTGTGGAATGGGAAGAGAAGGGCTGGAACTCCACAGCGATCAGCAGCGATCAGCCGGCTTGCAGTGAGGGACTGATTCTGAGAGGAACACCTCACGGAGCGGCAGCCCAGCTGTTACACTGGCCCCAAACACCCAGCATCTTCCCCTGTCCCTTCCTTCTCCCTTCTGCCACCCCTCCTCTCAGCTGAAGGATCATTCATGACATGGCGGCGTCACACACAGAGAGAGTGCCAGCCTGTGCTGCCCCCAGGCACCCCTAAGTGTCAGTGCGTCCTAGAGCAGTGGTCTCCAAACTATGGCCTGGGGGCCGGATGTGGCCCTTGGCTTGACTTTGCTTGGCTCTTGGGGCACTATTCCACCCACTGAAACCATCTATGGGGCACTATTCCTTCCACTGATAGCATCAATGGGGCACTATTCTTCCCATTGATACCAACAATGGGGCATTATTCCTTCCAATCAAACCAATGATGGTGCATTGCTTATGTTCACTAATGTCTGAGCATTTTTTTACTTACATTGGCCACAGTCTGGCCCCTGTAAAGCCTGAAGGAGAGTAAACTGGCCCTTTGTTTAGAAAGTTTGACCCCTGGCCTAGAGGAGCCACTGGCCCTGCTCATCCGATCCTAGTTACAAAAAAAGAACTCCACTTTTGGGGCTTGCATACACGGATATTATTGTCCAATGCAGACTTTTACATCTGGATGAAACGCGGCTCAAACACAAAAATTGCCATTTGATCTGCTTTGCATCTGCAATAAAACATGCTGCATCTATACAGTGTAGATGGATGGATTTCTCTTCCCAAATTGTATATTCTGACAGCCCCGAGCAGCCATAATGTCAGTATATTGGAAGCTGCTTTAAAGAGTAAATGCAATTGTTGGGGAAAAAAAATCCTTTCTGGGTGATCTATGTACAGTATATTGCAAGGATTTTAACAAACTTTGCTGCAGATTCCTACCTGTTTCTGTTCTGAAGAAAAATCTGTATGTTTGATTATGTCAATGTGCAAAATTAATCTGAATGGGCGTGGCTTTTCAATTATTAATCAGCTGATGCGCTTGCAGTGTTTTAATAAGGAAAGCTGGAAGGCTTGCATCCCTTTAGAAGTGATTAACCCTTTAGGATAAACTCACCAAAAATAAAATTTTTGTTGCAGAGGATGCCTAAAACATTGCTTGTATCTTAGTGCAGATATCTAAGAAAATCAGTGAGCCAATCACACAAGCAGGAAATGACATTTCTGGGGATGTTCTATATACCATCTGTGTACAGAACTCCTCCAGGTTGCATATTGCATTATTTTTTAAAGAAAATTACAATTTATTAAAAAGGAAAGATAATTTTTAAGAACATTACATTACATAGTTAGTCTGGTTGAAAAAAAGACACAAGTCCATCTAGTTCAACCAATTTTACAATATGGCTTATGTCGCAAATATATACAAATGCTAAATTATTTTTTCATTTGCTAGATTTTTTTCTCAATGAAAATGGAGTTACCCTTTAGGCTAGGTTCACATTTATGCAGTTTGCGTTTGATCCGCTTCTGCAGTGTTTTTTTTGCAGTGCGTTTTGCGTTTTTGTACATGTGTTTTTTTGCCACATTTTCTTTTCAAATTGTTGATGGGCAGTATAAAACGCATCAAAAAACACGTCAAAACCGCATCAAAAATGCTACATGCTTTTCTGCAGTGTTTCCATTCAAGTCTATAGAACCAAAAACGCAACTTTTTGCGTTTAAAAAAGTCCATGACCCTTTCCAAACAATGCACTGGGTGAAAACATGGAGATGTGAACCTGTCCCATAGGAAATCATGTTAAATGGACTGCTGTGCATTTCTGAAAAATGCAAAACGCTGTGGAAAATGCCTAGGTGTGAACCTAGACTTAGGGCCAGTTCACACCAAAGAAACGCAGTCCAGATGCGTTCCGGATACGCTTCCACATGCAGCATTGCTTCGGGATCTCTTCTTCACTTACCTTGTCCTGCGCTCCCCGCGATGTCCCCCCTGCAGTGTCCTCGGCAATGTCCTCTGGCCGATGCCGGCATCTGTCTTCCGGGTTCCGTTCCCTGCGACTTCGGGATGTACGGGACATAACCGGCGGGAAATTTAAAAATGTGAAAAAGTGACATTCACTAAATACACTAAAATCACATAGTATAACATTACTGTATCAAACCATTTCACATACATTTTGTCCCGAGTGCTTTGTCCTGAGCCCTGCCTGCATTTTTACTGTTCTTTCTGCCTGGAAACTGAGAAACGTCCATGGCGTCCAAAAAGCGTCCCTTTAGGTCAAAAGCGGTTTTAGATCAGCTAGAGAACAGCGATAGTAAATTAGAACCACTTGCAGAATTGAGTGATAATGATTCGTGGGGAAATTCGTCATCAGACACTGAAAACGATTTTGCGACTTTGCTCAGTGATGTGCGAACTTGGCGCTCTATTTCAAATTTCAGTGTTTTTGGTTTGATTATATTATTGAATTAAATTTATTATTATATATTATTATTTTTTATGATTATTTATTAAATTATAATTTATGATTTCGTGTTTAAAATTTTAACATACCGGGGATGTTAACTAGACTCTTGTTCGGACAGATTTCAGTGAGTTATTCCTAAAAATTACAGGCCTACAATAAAAAACGACATATTTCCATGCAAAAAAAGTACCGCTTTGAGCACAGAAATACTGACAAAATCAGACCGCTAGGGAGGCTACAAGTCAGCAGCTACAATATTTGTAGCTGCTGAATTGTAATTTGTTTCAAAGAGAATGAAGAACCTCTTTTAAGTCTTGTATTAAAACACCAGCATGTACTCTATTCTGTGCTACATTTTGGACAGTTCTCCTTTAAAAAAAAAAAAAGTCCTCTACTTTATCATCTGTCATATTTATTATGTATACATAGTTTATATGTCAAACTGCACCCGGCCTAGATGCAATAAGCGCCCTTCAAAATAGCTGTCCCAAACAGCTTAAATATAAAAATGAAGGCTGAGGTTGCAGCACTCAAACAAGTTGTTCAGAAGAAATCAAAGTATTTACAGAAGTGTTTAAAAAATTGCAAATGTGGAAATACTTCTGTAACTACTTTGATTTATTCTAAACAAATTGTTTGTGTGACTTCAGACTTTGTTTTATATAAATAAATAAATATTATATAAATAAAGATTTTTTTTTTTTACCTTTGTTTGTTTAGACATCATACTATTGGTTTTTACTATTGTTGTTTTATTGTTTGTGGCCCCATTGAAGGCCCCAGGAATGTGTTGTCCATTTTTACACTCCAAATAAAGTGGAATATATTCTACTTGATACTTCCTCCGTTCCTCTGTAGCCAGGTGTTGGCTATATCATTACATCATTCAGGGACATTTACAGATGAGACTATGATTACATCCTTTCCCCCTAGTGCCTAGTACTGGGACAGATACATCATGTCCTACTAGCCGAGTGGATCCAGTTCTTCTGACAGCAGAAGATCTTGGGACCTGTAGTCCTATAGCCAATACATACTGTATTTCTGAGTGCTGATTGAACTACAACTACCAGAGAGCTGAGGAACCAGAAGGTTGCTGGTAGAGCAGATATAGTCTACAGCAAGGGACTGGATCTGGCACTTGGCATAGAATTAAGAGCTGAACACAGGGGCACTGTCATTCTCCTCCAGGGACAGATTGTTTGCCTGCTGCTGCAGGACTCTACACATCAGTTCAGCACAGTGGTGACACAGATCACTTCACCGGGATCACATCAGATTCTCTGCATCAAGACTGTCACTATCTGGTCTTCACAAAGATATCTCAGCATGCCGCACTGATAGGCTGTCAGGTTGTAACTAGAGATGAGCGAAGTATTCAAAATTCGATTCGACTGATTTCGGCGAATTTCGTGGAAAAAATTTCGATTCGAGTCGAATATATTCGCTGCGAATTTAACTTATAAAAGGGTGTTTCTAGGCTTCAGAGAGCCTTTATATTAGTGCAGAACACTGTACCTTTAATTTAAAATGCCCTTGGAGTCTGCTGGGGAAGAGAAATAATACTGTCAGTCAGTATGACATGCAGATGAGTGCCGTCGATCTTAGAATCACCGCACACTTCACTCATTTGGGCAGTCACGGGGCCAAAACCAGAATGTGGAGCCACAGTGTGGCGGTGGAGGCAAGCAGCAATGGGAGGCCATACAGCACCCTATGACAAAAATGGAACCCACCAGCAGTGTGAGGAGACCTGAAAGTGGCACATGGCAGAGTGTGGCGATTAGAGATGAGCGAATCGAAGTAGGCGAAGTGGAATTCGTTTAGAATATTAGGAAAATTCGCGTCGAATCCGAAAATAAGCAGACTTCGGATGCGCGAATCGGAAAATTTTTCCTAAAATGGCGGCGACATGTGCGGCGACGGAGCGGGGATGTCTGGGAAGGCGCGCAGACAAGGCGCGCTGACCCATAATGCATTCATTCATGACATGTGATCGCATTAGCCAATCAGCAGCCAGCCAGCCAGCACTGTGTAATGGTCGAGCTATAAATGGCGGCCATTTTAGAATTCTCCATTTGCCTCCAGTCATTCAACAGAGGAAGACCTGGCTGTATTCAGGGAGAGAGTTAGGGACACAGAAACGTTAGTTAGGGGCACAGAATCGTTACTTAGGGCCAGAAGAAACGTTACTTAGGGCCACAGAAACGTTAGGGGACCCAATTGTTTACTCAGAAACGTTACTTAGGGACACAGAATTGTTACTCAGGGACAGACAGAATTGTTACTTTAGAGGGCCACAGATCGTTACTTAGGGGCCACAGAAACGTTACTTAGGGCCACAGAATTGTTTACTTAGGGACAGACACAGAATTGTTACTGGAGGGACACAGATTTGTTACTGAGGGCCACAGAATCGTTACTTAGGGCCACAGAAACGTTACTTAGGGCCACAGAAACGTTACTTAGGGCCACAGAATTGTTACTTAGGGACAGACACAGAATTGTTATTGAGGGACACAGAATTGTTACTGAGGGCCACAGAACCGTTACTTAGGGCCACAGAAACGTTACTTAGGGCCAACAGAATTGTTACTTTAGGGACAGAATTGACACAACAGATTGTTACTGAGGACACAGATTTGTTACTGAGGGCCACAGAAACGTTACTTAGGGCCACAGAAACGTTACTTAGGGCCACAGAATCGTTAGTTAGGGCCACAGAAACGTTACTTAGGGACACAGAATTGTTACTCAGGGACAGACACAGAATTGTTACTGAGGGATACAGAATTGTTACTGAGGGCCACAGAATCGTTACTTAGGGCCACAGAAACGTTACTTAGGGCCACAGAAACGTTACTTTAGGGCCACAGAATTGTTACTTAGGGACAGACACAGAATTGTTACTGAGAGACACAGATTTGTTACTGAGGGCCACAGAAACGTTACTTAGGGCCACAGAAACGTTACTTAGGGCCACAGAAACGTTACTTAGGGCCACAGAATTGTTACTTAGGGACAGACACAGAATTGTTACTGAGGGACACAGAATTGTTACTGAGGGCCACAGAACCGTTACTTAGGGCCACAGAAACGTTACTTAGGGACACAGAATTGTTACTCAAGGACAGACACAGAATTGTTACTGAGGGATACAGAATTGTTACTGAGGACACAGAACCGTTACTTAGGGCCACAGAAACGTTACTTAGGGCCACAGAAATGTTACTTAGGGCCACAGAATTGTTACTTAGGGACAGACACAGAATTGTTACTGAGGGACACAGATTTGTTACTGAGGGCCACAGAAACGTTACTTAGGGCCACAGAAACGTTACTTTAATGGAGGGCCACAGAAACGTTACTTAGGGCCACAGAAACTTTACTTAGGGCCACAGAATTGTTACTTAGGGACAGACACAGAATTGTTACTGAGGGGACAAGCAGAATTGTTACTGAGGGCCACAGAACCGTTACTTAGGGCCACAGAAACGTTACTTAGGGACACAGAATTGTTACTCAGGGACAGACACAGAATTGTTTTACTGAGGGATACAGAATTGTTACTGAGGGACACAGAACCGTTACTTAGGGACATAGAAACGTTACTTAGGGCCACAGAAACGTTACTTAGGGCCACAGAATTGTTACTTAGGGACAGACACAGAATGTTACTGAGGGACACAGAATTGTTACTGAGGGCCACAGAAACGTTACTTAGGGACACAGAATTGTTACTCAGGGACAGACTCACAGAATTGTTACTGAGGGATACAGAATTGTACTGAGGGGATCACAGAACCGTTACTTAGGGCCACAGAAACGTTACTTAGGGCCACAGAAACTTACTTAGGGCTACAGAAACGTTACTTAGGGCCACAGAAACGTTACTTAGGGCTACAGAAACGTTACTTAGGGCCAACAGAATCGTTACTTAGGGCCACAGAAAAGACAACGTTACTTAGGGACACAGAAACGTTACTTAGGGACACAGAATTGTTACTCAGGGGACAGACACAGATTGTTACTGAGGCGACACAGAATTGTTACTGAGGGCCACAGAACTGTTACTTAGGGCCACAGAAAACGTTACTTAGGGCCACAGAAATGTACTTAGGGGCCACAGAAACGTTACTTAGGGCTACAGAAACGTTACTTAGGGCCACAGAATCGTTACTTAGGGCCACAGAAACGTTACTTAGGGACACAGAAACGTTACTTAGGACACAGAATTGTTACTCAGGGACAGACACAGAATTGTTACTGAGGGACACAGATTTGTTTACTGAGGGCCACAGAACCGTTACTTAGGGCACAGAAAACAATTTTACTAGGGACACAGAATTGTTACTCAGGGACAGACACAGAATTGTTACTCAGGGACAGACACAGAATTGTTACTCAGGGACACAGAATTGTTACTGAGGGACACAGAATTGTTACTCAGGGACACAGAATTGTTACTGAGGGACACAGAATTGTTACTGATGGACACAGAATTGTTACTGAGGGACACAGAATTGTTACTCCGGGACAGACACAGAATTGTTACTCAGGGACAGACACAGAATTGTTACTGAGGGACACAGAATTGTTACTGAGGGCCACAGAACTGTTACTTAGGGCCACAGAAATGTTACTCAGGGACACAGAATTGTTACTCAGGGACAGACACAGAATTGTTACTGAGGGACACAGAATTTGTTACTGAGGGACACAGAATTGTTACTGAGGACACAGAATTGTTACTGAGGGACACAGAATTGTTACTCAGGGACAGACACAGAATTGCTACTGAGGGACACAGAATTGTTACTGAGGGCCACAGAACTGTTACTTTAGGGCCACAGAAACGTTACTCAGGGACACAGAATTGTTACTCAGGACAGACCACAGAATTGTTACTCAGGGACAGACACAGAATTGTTACTGAGGGGACACAGAATTTTACTGAGGGACACAGAATTGTTACTGAGGGACACAGAATTGTTACTGAGGGCCACAGAACTGTTACTTAGGGCCACAGAAACCTTACTCAGGGACACCACAGAAATTGTTACTCAGGGACAGACACAGAATTGTTACTCAGGGACACAGAATCGATTAATTAAAGAGTATGTCAGACCAACATGCAGAGGAGTGGCAGAGGAGGCAAATGTTTTAGGAGCGAGCAGACGTGGCAGCAGAGGAAGGGGTCGAGGCAGCACTATTCGCAGCCAGAGGCCAGTGCTCCCGGTGTCATCCAGCGGTTCGTGTTTCCACCGACAACCCTGCCGTCATCGATTGGTTGGCTCGATCGTCTTCCTCTTCCCAGGTCACCTCTGACACCTACAGCCAACGGTCGGTGGGTACGTCAGACACAACCGTTAGTTGGCATGGCCCTGGGAGCAAGCCCACTGAAATCACGTGTGTCCTCTTCTACCTGCCCCTGTCCTTTGGTGTTCCCTCACCAAGCGAAGTATTGCATGCTCGTGGGCTCAGCCCCACTCTACAGTGAGGAAGAGCTAACAGGAGGGACGGTCAGGAACGGGGGAGACATCCGCCTCTTCAGCAGCCAGGCGAAAGAAGTAATGTACTGGCGAGGAGAGTGGCTCGGTAGCCGGTTCTAGAGACAGGTCTGTCTCTGACCCACACGCAGCCGAGGGGCTAGTAGTGAGGCGGAGACCCTAATTGATGATGATGAGGCTGATCGCACTTGGCAGCCTCGTCGTCATCAGGCTATTGATTCACGCCATCATCAGGAGAAGAGGGGGTGCCAGCTATGGCAGCGAGCAAAAACAGTCGGTGGGGTTTTGCCCAGGAGGCAGCAGGGTCGCAGCAGTGTCAGTGGGAGGCAAACGGCCACGGAGTAGAGCACCAGCTCCACTGCAGCCTACCACCACGGCCAGTAGTGGTGCCGGTGTGCACGGAGGGAAGTAGCAGTCAGCCAGTGAGGAGTAGCGGGGGCAAAAGTTTCCTACTCGGCGGTGTGGCAATTTGTCGTCAAGCCGCCCTAGGGAAGTAAAGGTAGCCGTATTTGTCGACTATAGTGGCCAGAAAGTCAAGCGTGGCCAGGGGGCCCATGTTGGGACTACAGCGTTGCGTCAGCATATGCAGCGTCGCCATTCGGTGGCCTGGGAAAAACCGTGATAAAGATACGGCGGTTCTGCCTGCCCCAGCCCCCGCTCCATCACGCCGCTCCGTACTTGCTCTATTGTCAACCGACGTCAATCGCCCTCTATCAGCCAGTCAAAGGCTCCAACACCTCTGCTGAGGGGATGTTGTCGCTCGTTGGCATCTTCCGCTCCGTTTACAGATGCACCGCTCCTTCTCCTGCTACTCCTCTCACGGATTCTGTCAGCAGTCTTTCTTGGAATCCGTTTCCAAGAGACAACAGTTTGCGAGCACGCACCCGACGCTGCAGAAGCTGAACGTCCTCCTGTCCAAGTTGCTGGTGTGCGCTGCAGTCCCTCCCTTTCCAAGTGGTGGAAACTCAGCACCTTTCCGAGAAATGATGGCTTGTGCCGCGCCGCGGTGGAGAGTGCCAAGCCGGCATTTCTTCGCCAAAAAGGCAGTGCCAGCCCTGCATTCACATGTAGAAGAGATGGTGGGCCAGTTCTTTGAGCATGTCGGTCTCTGCCAAAGTGCACGGCAGCGCCGACGTGTGGAGCTGTAACTACGGTCAGGGACAGTACAATGTCATTTACGGCCCAATGGATCTGGGTGAACGTGGTGCCGGCACAGCCGCACCAAGCAACTATGGGACCAGGTCACGCCGCTTTTGCCTCCACGTTTGCACGTCCTTGGTCCAGCAAAGATGTCCCGCCTCTACCACCTCTTCTTCCGCCGTGTCCTCAGCCGCCACCCCCGTGCCAAGTCCCATTACCCAACCGGCATATCACATGTGCAGGGCGCAACGGTGTCACGCTGTGCTGCACCTGGTATGCCTTGGCGAACGTAGTCACACAGGGGAGGAACTTCTGAGTGTAATGAACAGAGAAATCGACAGATGGCTGTCTCCGCGCAAACTGAAAATCGGAACCATGTTGACCGACAACGGAAAGAACATGGTGTCTGCTCTGCGTCAAGGAAGGTTGTGCCATGCGCCATGCATGGCTCCACGTGTTCAATCTGGTTGTCAAGCGGTTCCTAAAATCCACCATCCCACTGCAAGACATCCTTAAAATGTCACGTAAACTTTGCATGCATTTCAGCCATTCCTACACCGCAAAGCACACCCTCCTTGAGCTGCAGCGGCAGAACGGAATTCCACAGCATCGCCTGATCTGCGACGTTGCAACAAGGTGGAATTCAACCCTACATATGTTAGACCGCCTTTACGAACAGCGAAAGGCCATCACCGATTTCCTGTGATGTTACAAGCGGATAAAGGTACTCCCCTGTGTAACTTTCGATGTCAGCCATTGGCAGCTCATGCGTGACACCTGCCGCTTGCTCAGGCCCTTTGAGGAGGCCACGCTATTCGTGAGTCGGCAGGACTATGGGATGAACGACGTCATTTCCTCTGTTGCACGTCCTGGAACAAATGCTGTTAACAAATGGCTGGTCAGGGTGCGGTAGATGTGGCGCACAGATCTCAACGCCACATGACCCCTGTGGGGGCAGGACAGGAAGAAGAGGAGGAGGTAGAGGAGGACAATTGGTGCTCAGGAATTATTGAGTGAAATGGGTGGGTTTTTCCACTCAGCGGACAGGAGTGGAGGAGCAGGAGCATCTGGTAGAGGAGGAGGAGGAGACAGAGGACCCAGACGCACCGTGGCAGTATGCTGTGGAGATGGAGGCAGGAGTCCCTCGCATTCCTTGGCACAAATGGCCCATAGCATGCTCGGTTGCTTGCGTAGCGACAGCCGAATAATAACCATCAGACAGAGGGATGACTTTTGGCTGTCACCTTGTTGGACCCTCGCTACCGTTCAAAAATGGTGGCCTTTTCACACCTGCTGAGAGGGAGGCCAAAATAGCGTACTATAAAAACCACCTATGTAGTCAGTTGGTCTCTGCCTTTCTGCGCCAACGTCCATCCTCAGACACTGTGGGCCCTGTGCGCTCGCGTTCCGCTGCCATGGCAGCAGGGGAGGGGTGGGGTGGTAGGAGCAGTGGCAGCTCCACCAGCAGCGGTCTGCCTCAGTCTGCAGTCGATGATGAGTAGCTTTCTTCACCAGCGCAGTGAGGAAACTACTAACCAGCCGCAGCAGCAGCAGCATCAGGTGGACCTGAACGGAGCAGGACCTCAAACAACAGGCTTGGGCCTACTTGGACAGCACCCCTGCCAACCGAGGTAGACAATCCCCTTGACTACTGGGCAACGAAACTTGACCTTTTTGGCCCCAGCTAGCTGAATTTGCCCTTGAAAGGCTGTCATGCCCGGCCAGTAGCGTGGCATCGGAGCGCGTGTTTTAGTGCGGGCAGGAGGTATTGTAACTCCGCGGAGGACACGACTGTCCACCCAAAGTGTGGAGAGACTCACGTTTGTGAAAATGAATCAGGCGTGGATTAGTCTGGATTTCAAACCACCAGTTCCTGACACAACTGACTAAATCCGCCATGAATCATGCCCCAAACATGTTATTATTTTTAACATAGGCCTCTGTATGGCCTTCAATTTAAGCTGCTTACGCTTCGCCACTCTGCCATGGGCCCCTGTACCGCCTCCTCTTGCTGCTGCCAGGTCCAGAGTGTGTCATGGGTCCCTGTACGGCCTCCCATTGCTGCTGTCTCCATCGCCACACTCTGCCATGTGCCACTTTCAGGTCTCCTCACACTGCTGGTGGGTTCCATTTTGTCATAGGGTGCTGGCAGATTACGGGCCTCCCATTGCTGCTGCCAGGCCCGTAATCTGCCATGGGCCCCCGTACCGACTCCTCATGCTGCTGCCAGGCCCGTAATCTGTCATGGGCCCCTGTACCGCCTCCTCATGCTGCTGCCAGGTCCAGAGTGTGTCATGGGTCCCTGTACGGCCTCCCATTGCTGCTGCCAGGCCCGTAATCTGCCATGGGCCCCCGTACCAACTCCTCATGCTGCTGCCAGGCCCGTAATCTGTCATGGGCCCCTGTACCGCCTCCTCATGCTGCTGCCAGGTCCAGAGTGTGTCATGGGTCCCTGTACGGCCTCCCATTGCTGCTGTCTCCATCGCCACACTCTGCCATGTGCCACTTTCAGGTCTCCTCACACACTGCTGGTGGGTTCCATTTTGTCATAGGGTGCTGTATGCCCTCCCATTGCTGCTGCCAGGCCCGTAATCTGCCATGGGCCCCCCGTACCGACTCCTCATGCTGCTGCCAGGCCCGTAATCTGTCATGGGCCCCTGTACCGCCTCATCATGCTGCTGCCAGGTCCAGAGTGTGTCATGGGTCCCTGTACGGCCTCCCATTGCTGCTGTCTCCATCGCCACACTCTGCCATGTGCCACTTTCAGGTCTCCTCACACTGCTGGTGGGTTCCATTTTGTCATAGGGTGCTGGCAGATTACGGGCCTCCCATTGCTGCTGCCAGGCCTGTAATCTGCCATGGGCCCCCGTACCGACTCCTCATGCTGCTGCCAGGCCCGTAATCTGTCATGGGCCCCTGTACCGCCTCCTCATGCTGCTGCCAGGTCCAGAGTGTGTCATGGGTCCCTGTACGGCCTCCCATTGCTGCTGTCTCCATCGCCACACTCTGCCATGTGCCACTTTCAGGTCTCCTCACACTGCTGGTGGGTTCCATTTTGTCATAGGGTGCTGTATGGCCTCCCATTGCTGCTGCCAGGCCCGTAATCTGCCATGGGCCCCCGTACCGACTCCTCATGCTGCTGCCAGGCCCGTAATCTGTCATGGGCCCCTGTACCCACTCCTCATGCTGCTGCCAGGTCCAGAGTGTGTCATGGGTCCCCTGTACGGCCTCCCATTGCTGCTGTCTCCATCGCCACACTCTGCCATGTGCCACTTTCAGGTCTCCTCACACTGCTGGTGTGTTCCATTTTGTCATAGGGTGCTGTATGGCCTCCCATTGCTGCTGCCTCCACCGCCACACTGTGGCTCCACACTCTGGTTTTGGCCCCGTGACTGCCCAAATGAGTGAAGTGTGCGGTGATTCTAAGATCGACGGCACTCATCTGCATGTCATACTGACTGTCAGTATTATTTCTCTTCCCCAGCAGACTCCAAGGGCATTTAAATTAAAGGTACAGTGTTCTGCACTAATATAAAGGCTCTCTGAAGCCTAGAAACACCCTTTTTATAAGTTAAATTCGCAGCGAATATATTCGACTCGAATCGAATTTATTCCGCGAATTCGCCGAATCAGCCGAACCGAATTTTTGAATAATTCGCTCATCTCTAATGTGAATGTTGCGGTTATGTGGAGATGCAAAGAGAGTTGTGTAGAAGGAAGGAGGAAAATGTGACGTATTGTAGACACTTTCGTTCACTGATGTTACATGTGTGCGGTTGACCTGAATTTCTTTCTAATCTTTTTTAATTCCCATTTCAGTCATGAAGCATATTATCGTCTCTCTCTTTGAGTAACAAAAGGACAAATAAATTTTACTAGAAATTTTTTGTTTTAAGAATGTTCGTTAAATTTTCTAATCTGTATTGGAGTCAAATCAGCATTTGGAAAATTCAGAGCAGAGTAATAGGAATTTTTTCCCCAACAAATGAATTTCTAACATCATATATGGTTTTCATTCAGGAAATTACAAATATTTCAAAACTGAATGTTAAAAAGCAAACAAAATTTACTTTTGAATGACATTTGTCCAGTCATCGAATGTTCAAAGAATTTTCATACTAATGTTTTGTACGAATATTCATACAAAGGTTTGTTCAAATATATATAGTATAGGCAGCTTTAGACAGAAAGGGTTTGAAATAAGTGATTTGTCACCTAACCACTTGCCCTCCTGAGGATTTACCCCCCTTCTTGACCAGGCCATTTTTTGCTTTACGGCGCGGCTTTACTTTAACTGACAGTTGCGCGGTCATGCAACGCTGCACCCAAATGAACTGTATGTCCTTTTTTCCCACAAATTGAGCTTTCTTTTGGTGGTGTTTTATAGCCTGTGCGTTTTTTTTTTTTATTTTTTGCGCTATAAAAAAAAAAAAAAAAGACTGACAATTTTGAGAGAAAAAAAATATTTTGGACTGTTTGCTATTAATCACTTGCTTTTCAGGGCACTTATACCCCTTCCTGCCCAGGCAAGTTTTCAGCTTTCAGCGCTGTCGCAATTTGAATGACAATTGCGTGGTCATGCAACACTGTACCCATATGAACTTTTTATCATTTTTTTGAGACAGATAGATCTTTCTTTTGGTGGTATTTAATCACCTCTGGGTTTTTTATTTTTTGCTAAACAAACCAAAAACAACTGAAAATTTTGAAAAAAAAAAAAAAGTTTTTTCTTAGTTTGTGTTATAAAATTTTGTAAACAAGTGATTTTTCTCCTTCACTGATGTGCGCTAATGAGGCTGCAGTGATGGGCACTGATAGGCTGCACTGATGGGCAATGATAGGTGGCACTGATGGGCACTGATGAGGAGGCACTGGTAGGTGGCACTGATGGGCATTGACAGGCATCACTGATGGGCACGGAAAGGCAGCACTCATATATGGCACTGATAGGTGGCACTGACTGGCACTAATAGGTGGCATTGACTGGCACTGTTAGGCAGCACTAATAGGCAGCACTGACAGGCACTGATAGGTGGCACTGAAAGGCGGCACTTACTGGCACTGATTGGTGGCACTGACTGGCACTAATAGATGACACTTAAAGGCAGCTCAGATGGGCTCTGATATGTGGCATTGATGTGCACTGGTAGGCACTGATATGTGGCACTGATGAGCACTGACAGATGGCATTGATGGGCAAGGACAGGTGGCACTGCTGGGGCTACACTGATCATCAGGGCACACTGATCATCAGTGCCCTGATGATCAGTGTACATATTCCCTCCGAGGAATGCAGATTACCAGCTCTCCTCTGTCAGCGTAACAGCTTGTGAGGAGAAAAATGCCGATAACTGGCATTTCCCTATTTACATGCGATCAGCTGTGATTGGACACAGCTGATCACATGACCGAGCTGACATCTTCGGCTCTTTCCATTGATCGGTGATCCGCTGTGTCAGAGGGACACAGTGCACCATAGATCGCCGCGCTGCGCGCTCCTAGAGTCGCGCATGCGCGGTTAGAGTGGGAGGATGTCATATGACGTCCTCCCAGAACGAGAGAACCGCCTTGCGCCTGTCATTTCCTTATATGGCGGGCAGGAGGCGGTTAAACATGTCCAGTAAAAAAATTTTAAAAATCAAATTTGTCATAAATTTAGGGCAAAATGTATTCTGCGACATGTCTTCGTTAAAAAAAAATCCCAATACGTGTAAATTAATTGGTTTACGTAAAAGTTATAGTGTTTACAAATGGCGGTATGGATACTGGAATTTTTTTTTTTTTTTTTCAACTAGTAATGGCGATCAGCAACTTATAGTGGGACTATGGTGGAAATTCTGACACTGAGGGGGAACTGACTTGGTGTCACTGACATCCCCAGTGACACCAATGCAGTGATCAGAGCTAAAAAAAAAGCACTGACACTGTACTAATGGCACTGGGCAGGTAAGGGTTAACATGAGGGGCGATCAAAGGGTTAACTATGTGCTGGGAGTGTTTTACTAGGGGGTGGTGTGTTGGTGCTTCACTGTAAAAACACTGCTCTGGATAGCAAATAAAATAGTCTTCCTCCTCATCAGTGATTGTCGGAATTTTTTTTTTTTGCCTGGACCCGGTGATTGACAGCCGCGGCCACAAATGGCAGCGCGGGTAGGGCGCGTGCACAGCTCGCATGCACCCCCTACCCAGAAATGCAAGATCATGTATACGTGATTTTGTGCACCCATGCCATCCTGTAGCAGTATTTCTGCTATAGGGCGGTCTGGAAGCAGCTAGGCTGGCCATGGATGGATAGAATCTCAGCTGGTTCAGCAGGGACTGGCTAAGATTCGATCCATCTATAGGCAAACTGGGTGTACTGAAGTTGAACCTTCGGCTGTATAATCCCTGACCCTTTGTCTGGACAGTGCTGATTGGCCTTGTGATGATCACATGCACCCTCCCAAGAAAATAAAAAACACTGCAGCAATACTGTACACACCAAATCTGTCATTCCACGCCAAGTCCTGTCTTTATTTACGTCATCAGGGGCTGATAATCAGTGCTGCCTTTTAGTGTGCTCATCATTGCCGCTGATCAGTGCCCAACAATGCCACCTATCAGTGCCAATCACTGCTGCCTATCACTGCCAGTCAGTGCAGCCAATCAGTGCTGCCTATCAGTGCAGCCTCATCAGCGCACATCAGTGAAGGAGAAAAATTACTTATTTACAAAATTGTATAACATAAACTAAGAACAACTTTAGTTTTTTTTTCAAAATTTTGTCTATTTTATTTTATTTAGCAGAAAAATAAAAAACCCCAGAGGTGATTAAATACCACCAAAAGAAAGCTCTATCTGTCTCAAAAAAAATTATAACAATTTCATATGGGTACAATGTTGCATGATTGTGCAATAGTCATTCAAAGTGTGACAGCGCTGAAAGCTGAAAATTGGCCTGGACAGGAAGGGAGGGAAAAGTGTGTTTAGCGTTTTGCCTGTAGAAGCGACTGATGTTTTCCTATGTGTCCATGCACATTAGGTAGTCTACACCCTGTTCCAAATTATTATGCAAATTCTATTTAAGTGTCACAAAGATTAAATATTTTGTTTTTCAGTTTAACTCATGGATGGCATTGTGTGTCAGGGCTCTTTTGATCACTGAAACCAATCTTGGACACCTGTGATAATTAGATTGGCTAGTGAGCCCAATTTAAGGAAAAACTACTAAAGGAGGGTGTTCCACATTATTAAGCAGAGCACCGTTTTCAAGCAATATGGGGAAGAAAAAGGATCTCTCTGCTGCCGAAAAGAGTGAAATAGTTCAATGCCTTGGACGAGGTATGAAAACATTAGATATTTCACGAAAACTTAAGCGTGATCATCGCACTATTAAGAGATTTGCGGCTGGTTCAGAGCACAGATGGGTACGTGCAGATAAAGGCACATTGAGGAAGATTTCTGCCAGATCCATGCATCGGATCAAGAGAGCAGCTGCTAAAATACCATTACATAGCAGCAAACAGGTATTTGAAGCTGCTGGTATCTCTGGAGTCCCATGGACATTAAGGTGTAGAGTCCTCCAGAGTCTTGCAACTGTGCATAAATCCTTCTATTCGGCCACCAATAACCAATGCTCACAAGCAGAAATGGCTGCACTGGGCAGAAAAATACATGAAGACTAATTTTCAAACAGTCCTGTTCACTGATGAGTGCCGTGCAGCCCTGGATGGCCCAGATGGATGAAGTAGTGGATGGCTGGTTGACAGCCACCCTGTTCCAACAAGGCTGCGCGTCAGCAAGGCGGTGGTGGTGTCATGTTTTGGGCCGGAATCATGGGAACAGAACTGGTTGTCCCTTTTAGGGTCCCCGAAGGTGTAAAGATGACCTCTGCAAAGTATGTAATAAAATCATCTTCATGCATGACAATGCACCATCTCATGCTGCAAAGAATACCTCTGCATCAATGGCTGTTATGGGGATAAAGGGAGAGAAAGTCATGGTGTGGCCTCCATCCTCCTCTGACCTCAATCCTATTGAGAACCTTTGGAGCATCCTCAAGAAAAAGATCTATGAGGGGTGGGAGGAAGTTTACATCCAAACAGCAGCTCTGGGCGGCTATTCTGACATCTTGCAAACAAATTCAAGCAGAAACTGTCCAAGTTCAATGGATGCAAGACTTGTGAAGCTGCTATCAAATAAAGGGTCCTATGTTACAATGTAACATGACCTGTTAAAATGTTTAAAAAGTTAAAATGTTGTTAAAAGTTTGATTGAAATAGCTTTTGATTTCAGTAAATATGCTGCAAACACAACAAATGACAATTTTCAGTTCTTTACAACCTATAAAGTGTTTTGAAACTTATTGTGCGTAATAATTTGGAATAGTGCATTGGAAGTGTTTATGTTTAAAAAAATTACTGTTCTCATTATGAGGTTTGTTCAATAAAATGTGATTTGTTCTCTTAATAGCTGATAACATGAGAATTATGCTGACTGTTATTTACATCAATTATTTAGGTAAATGAGAAAAAATATCATTTGCATAATAATTTGTGTAGAGGCGTTTTTTAAGATCAGCGTCTAGAGACAAACAAAACTGTTTTGTGTTTTTCTGGCAGAATACAAACACAATGCTCCTAAATGTTAGTATTTATTTATTTTATTACAGGTACTTATATAGCGCCGTCAATTTATGTAGCACTTTACATATATATTGTACATTCACATCAGTCCCTAACCCACAAGGGGTGTACAATCTAAGGTCCCTAATTTACATTCATACATATACATACTAGGGACAGGTTACACAGGAGCCAATTAACCTACCAGCATGTCCTTGGAGTGTGGGAGGAAACCCATGCAGGCACAGGGAGAACATGCAAACTCCAGGCAGGTGATGCCATGGTTGGGATTTGAACCAATGACCCTAGTATCACCAGGTGAAAGTGCTAACCATTTAGCCACTGTGCTGTCTCACACTACAAAAAAAAAAAAAAAAAAAAAAACCTCAAAATTATCCGCTGTTTCTGGTGGGTTTTTTTTAAGCCAGTATGCATGGTGCCGAAGATCGGTTAGAAAAAATACAAACCTCTGCATTACTGGACAGTATTTTAGGCACAAATACGCACATATGGCAACAAAAGCTATATTTTATACATATCGGTGAATCCATGCATGTACATGGAAGAGAAATATATTTCCAATATATTTAGAAAAAAAATGATATATGTGATATATATTTACGATATATTGGCCTACACTAAGATATTTTATCATGTAATCTAAGAAAAATATACATTTAAATATATTTTCTAAAGGTATATATTTAAAAATATATATTTTTAAAATATATTCTTCAGATTTTTTTTAACATATAAAAAAAGTAATTTTAACATAATATTTTTACATATACAGTATTTGTAAATGCTTTCCAAAAATGTAGATGAAATGTATTTTCAAAGACATATATTTGAAGATGTATTGTTAAAAATATTATTATTATAATAATAATAAAAATATTTTTCATATTTTTTTTAACCACTTGCCTACCAGGCACTTATACCCCCTTCTTTACCAGGCCAAGTTTCAGCTTTCAGCGCTGCCGCACTTTGATTGACAATTGCGCGGTCATGCAACATTGTACCCATATGAAATTTTGATCATTTTTTTCTCACAAATAGAGCTTTCTTTTGGTGGTATTTAATTGCCCCTGGGCGCTTTACTTTTTGCGCTATAAATAAAAAAAGTGCAAAAATTTTGAAAAAAAAAATTTTTTTCTTTGTTTCTATTATAAAATTTTTCAAACAGGTATTTTTTCTCCTTCACTGATGTGCGTTGATGAGGCAGCACTGATGGGTACTGATAGGCGGCACTGATGGGCAGCACTAAAGGGCACTGATAGGCAGTACTAATGAGGTGGCACGGATAGGCGGCACTGATAGACAGCACTAATGAGGTGTCACGGATAGGCGGCACTAATATGCAGCACTGATAGGTGACACTGATGATGGGTACTGATAGACGGCACTGACTGGCATCACTGCTGGGCACTGACTGGCGGCACTGACTGGCACAACCCCTAGGCACTGACTGGTGGCACTGACTGGCAGCACTGCTGGGCTGCACTGGTGGGCAGCACTGGTGGGTGGGCACAGGTGGGTGGCACTTCTGGGCACAGGTAGGTGGCACTTCTGGGCACAGGTGTGTGACACTGCAG